TATTTTCTTAATAACATGAACTTCACCTCAGGTGAGAATGTCACAAAGAAGACCTTCAGCAGCCAGTACATCCCAACCCTCAGTGAAGAATGGCAATTTAGTTTCAGAAAAAGCTGAGGGAGCGAAAAACAACAAGCGGAAACAAGATGGTGGGCAGAAGAAACTCGAGCCAAATGGCCCAAGCTATGTGAGTGCATGGTTCCCCCTGAAATTTGTTCATGAATCTTGTGGACCGGTACATTGCGTTACAATGGAGCCTTAGCTTTCTTTGGGAAGCCCTTACCTTGTGCCAGCGGACCACAAAAAGGGTACAGAATAGTAACTCAAATTGAGAAATTACTGCAAAGGAATGAAGAAGAAAATCCATGAATCACAATTGGTGCAGAAAAATTCAAGGATCACAATTTCGTTGCAGTGCATAATTTCGGTCATTTTAGAAATGAAATCAAAAAAAAATTTGAATTTTTGTTTCCGAAATATTCTGGAATATGGATTATTCTGATTACCAATAACGGACTAGTACTGGTCACTGAACCAAAATGTTGTCGATCATTTTATTTAAACGAAACGAAAGGAAATTTTGATTCTTGGATAAATACCAAGCCGAGTAACCAATGACCCCTAGTCTTTTCCTTTTATTCTCTTTTTTCACTCACCTTGTGTTTGGTTCTGTATACTGTTGTTTACAATGAAGTTGTGTTTCTACGTGAAGCTTGTACATTCTCCCAAGACATCACAAACGGCAAAGAATGCTGAGATGCAGAGGAAAACAAAACCTAGTGGACTGCCAAAATCTGTGAGTATATATCATTTTTTTATACACCGTTGGATTCCCTAGCTTGCTGTATCTTTCATTTCTTGACCCACGATTTTAAATGCAACCCTCAGGCAACAATGTCAGTTGGAAAATCTCAAGAACTGAGTGCACGGAGAATCAAAGTCATGCAAACTCTTGGTTTGGTTGCTCCTTCCGGGTCTCCATTTGACCGAAATGGGCACATTTCTATGAGTCCAATTCTTCATGACTGACTGCCACAAGATTGACCTAGTGGCATGTTGTGGATTTACTACTTTTTGTTCACCTTTCATCTTCTTGTGGCGGCTATTAATAGTTTGATGTTTTTCAAGCTCATTTTGCGAAGTATCATTCTTTAGAATGTGGTTAACTATCAGTGTTCCTGATAGCTGCAACTAGCTCGTTGGAGTGTACTCGAGTCCAACAAACATTCCTTGTGAAACTTTCTTCCCTTGTTAATGAGAAACTAATCTATGTATGATGACTACCTTCTGCATATTGATGTATTTATACTAGGAAAATATTTCACCTGACAGGTGTCGCATTGACAGTCAGGTTTCTACTATTTGCAACACAGACGGGAGTTGATAATAGAACCAATATGTTCTCGGTCTGGAGAAGGTGTGACCCAGTTTAGAGATCTTGTTTTGAGCCTACTTGGGTGTGTTTGAGTAACGCTTCCCCCCCCCCTCCCCCCCACAACACACACACAAAAAAAAAACCCCTCTTTCCTCCTACTCACATGTAGAGAGGGAGAGAGAGTTATTGATTTAAATACAGTTTCACTTTGTGAATATATCATGGGTGGAATGGAAGATGCAGCAATAAGGGCTAATGTTTGGTATTAGCTATTTCATTTTATGCATATCAACTCTTCCTGATCTTCAGATCCTCACCTTTAATAAACAACATGTATTCAGGTTCTATTGTACTACACACAAGCAGACATATAGATGATCGAGGAGATCTTTCTGTTTTTTGCTTCATACTATTATTTGCTTCTTTTAAATTGCAATTAATGGAAATATTTCTCCGACCCACCTCCTATTTAGCTCTCTCTCTCTCTCTCTCACACACACACACACACAGAGACAGTAGAAAAAATGCTTCATCGCTGTCACGGCTAATTTGGCAGTCATTCAAGAACCAAAGTCCATGAAGAAGCCAATGGATGGTGTAGATTCAAGCTCAAATTCAGGATCAAAGTCCCCAAGAAAAAAAACAGAAGCAGCTTTCAAGAAACACGCCATTGCAGAGCAGAGGCGAAGAGAGAGAATCAACCATCATTTCAACAGGCTCCGCCAACTCTTCCCTAACCTTTCCAAAGTGAGCTACATCATTCCCTTAATATATGTGTGCATTTCGCCGGAATCACCACTCTATTAGTCTATATATATACATATGCGACGCATAGAACTCAATACATAATCACAGATACAGTTTGATTAGTTTACTTTGATGCTAAGGTTTTGAGTCGGAAAAATAGTTTCTCGAGTTTTATACATACAATCTTTTCTTTAAGATATGACCCTCGTGAATTGTGTTGCTTTTTTCTTTTTCTACTATAGACAAGCATTGTCCCAACTGCTTCGATGATGTACCCTTTGGAGCCATAAATAAAGATATTTATGTGCATATCTGTGTTATGAAATAAGCACCATAATTCTAAGCAGACTGATAAGGCCTCGGTGCTGATAGAGACGGTCCGACGTGTGAGGGAGCTGAAGAAGAAGGTGGCTGATCACCTAGTGCCGTGTCAAGACAGCCAAGGTTGCTCCGTCGGAAATATGGGATCATGGCCATTCTTTTTTCCCAGCGAGAATGATGAAGCCACTGTCAGTTACAATGAAGAAGGAGAAGACAAAGAGGTAAAGGCGACAATATGCTGTGAGGATAGGCCGGGGCTAAACTGGGATTTGACAGAGGCTGTCCGGTCAGTGAGGGGGAGAGCGGTAAGATCGGAAATTGCAACCATTGGAGGGCGGACCAAGGCTGTGGTGGTGGTGCAATGGAGGGAAGGAGGAGGAGGCGGTGGTGGCGGCCGCGAACAAGATATTGGGTCGTTAAGAAGGGCCTTGAAGGCAGTGGTGGAGAATCGGGCTTTGGGCTGTTCTGGGCTGGTGGGTCAAGTTTTTCCTTCTACGAAATGGGGCAGATTGGGCTAAGATTGCTTGGTACAAAGCGGGCTCGGATTTTTGATTCTAGATACTAAAACGAAGTTGGGAATTATTTTACTTTTCTCTAATATATTTTGTATTTTGGAAAAAAATAATTATAAATACAAGTACTTGTTCACAAAATTGCTTGGCGAATTTGATGGAAATGTGTGTTTTTTTTTTATAAATAAGAATGAAAATGAAGCGTTTAGACTGTCTGAACTTGAAGGCAAATTCACAGAACTATTCTATATATTATTACGAACAATTTCAAGGAGATGACTTGTGAAGGTTTTTCTTCTCATTTTTTCTTAGAATTTTTATTTATTGAATTACAATGCATACTATTATCCAATCGCATTCTACCACATATACTAGTCTCTTTTTTTTTTTGGACATTTAGCACATTTCCTAGTTAACTACCAATATATATATATATATATTATTTCATTGATTTTGTATCCCTTTGTATTTTTCTATAATTCTTATGCAAGTGATAAGGTAGAAAAATATAAATTTTTTTTAGTCATAAATTGGGTGCATTACAGTGGGCTGCAGCTGTGATAAATGTTTTTAGACTAGTATTATTGGGACATTAAAATCTGACCTAATTTGTTGATCAAATAACGTAGTTTCATTGTAACCATTGAATTAACGTCAAGGCCCTACCTGTTTGGGCCTGGTGCAACATAAGCTGTTTGGGCCAGCCCATAGGCAACGACATTTTTGCAGAGGCTTACTTGGGCCATCCATAAGGAAGTCATATTGGTAATTACTTGGTGCTTTAGGACACAAATTAATTACTTATATCTGGAAAGGAAAGGATTAAACGAATACTCTAAGAGGCGAGCTCAAGTTGAGTTTTTGAATTCTCAACAATTCACCTTACCCTTTTCCCTAAAGATATCATATCAAATATTTAGTAGTTTGTGTTATATTACTGTTAGGGAATCTACTTTTTACTTATCAAATTTTGTTCGAAGTCTCAGATAAAGAATATAGAAAACTTACAGTTTCGAGATATGACATGTCGTTACGATTTTGTTCGAAGTCTCAGATAAAGAATATAAAATACTTACAGTTTCGAGATATGACATGTCGTTACGACACGAAACCATGATGCACACCTTTGCTTCCATAGTGGTGCGATGGATTATTCAATCAACACTTTAAGTGTGGACATGAATGACTATTAAAAAGTCATGTAAACTTGGCAATGGCTTTCATGATTTGAATGCAAGCTTCTTGATTTAATTGGTGCTAAAATTTACTTATGCTTTTTTCACGTTTAGATTTTTACCCATTGAAGAAACTTTGTAAAGTGTGTGTGTTGTCATGGCCAAGCTTAATCTCTCTGTAGAATTACATAAAAATGAAGTAAGGATAAAGGTAAAAAAAATATCCCTGTCTAGGTACTTATACCAGTGGGCTTCTTTTCTCATTTTCAATTTGCATTTATGGTTTCACACTGTCTTTTCTCTTTTGTTTTAGAATCAAATAATTTCTTATGGTAGAAGGAAAAAAAAAGATAAAAGGTTTGTTACGTGAAAAGTTACGATTTGAAATTTTTATAAAAAATTCAGAGTTAAAAAAGTTCTCTAAAAGCGTTTAGAGTGTTTTTTTTAAATTTGAAAAAATTAGAAAAATCTTTTTGGAGTAATTTTTTTTGTTTTTTTCTGTTAAAATAAAAAATAATTATATATATATATGTATAAATTATGTACAATAAATTTCAAAATATGAATTTTTAAATTTTTTACATTGTTTAATTTAATATCACAGTGTAAGATTATTAGTAGGCACGACATTAGAGAAAATGAAACTAATCAGATTTAATTTGAAAATAATAAAAAATGTCAAAATGTCCAACTTGAAGGATATCTTTTTGCGAGGTCTTAATTGGATTAGGTGATTAGGTCTGGTGAGTGAAAAAATACAACCTAGACCCTACCTGTTTGGGCCTGCTGGAACCTAAGCTATTTGGGCCAGCCCATAGGCAACAATATTTTTGCAGAGCCTTACTTGGGCCATCCATAAGGAAGTCATATTGGTAATTACTCGCTGCTTGTAGGAAACAGATTAATTATTTGTATCGGGAAAAGATTAAACGAAACGAAATATTCTAAGAGGCGAGTTCACATTGAGTTTACGAATTCTCAACAATTCACCTTACCCTTCTCCCTAAAGATATCATATCAAACATTTAATAGTCTGTGTTATATTACTGTTATAGAATTTACTTTTCACTTATCAGATTTTGTTCGAAATTTCAGACAAACACAAAGAATAAAGAACGCTTATAATTTCGAGATATGACATGTCGTTACGGCACGAAACCCTGATTGATGCACACCTTTGCTTCCTTAGTGGTTTGATGGATTATTCAATCAACACTTCGAGTGTGGGCATGACTGAATATAAAAAGGTCACGTAAACTTGGCAATGACTTTCATGATTTGAATGTGATCTTCTTGACTTAATTGGTGCTAAAATTTACTTTTGCTTTTTTCACGTTGAGATTTTTACCCATTGAAGAAACTTTGTAAAGTGTGTTGTCATGGCCAAGCTTAATTTCTCTGTAGAATTACATAAAAATGAAGTAAAGGATAAAGGTAAAAAAAAAAAATATCCCTGTATAGGTACCTATACCAGTGGGCTCCTTTTCTCGTTTTTCAATTTGCATCAATGGTTTCACACTATCTTTTCTCTTTTGTTTTAGAATCAGAGAATTTCTTATGGTAGAAGGAAAAAAAAGTAGATAAAGAGCCTGTTTGGAGCTGTTTTTTTTACGTGGTTTAAAAATTTTCGCAAAAAAATCAGTGTTAAAAAAATCTTTTAAATTCTTTTAAGGTGTTTTTTAAAAAGATGAAAAAATTAGAAAAGTCCGTTTGGGATAATTTTTTAATTTTTTTTTTGAATTTTTTGTGTCAAAGTAAAAAATAATAATTACATATATGTATAGATTATGTATAATAGTTTTCCCAAAATATGAATTTTAAATTTTTTTACTTCACTAATAAAATTTTATGAATATAATAAACTAAAAAATTAAGTGAAACCCATGATAAAATTTCAAAAAGTTCGAAAAAAAGCTCATAAAATCAAATTTTTTGAATTATCCTAAATAATTTTTTTTGGGTTCAAAAGCTTCTGTATAGGTTTAAACGAATCCGACTTATTTTACTCTAAAATCTTTAAAAGTTACCTATTTAAATTAGCTTTAAACGAACTTAAAGTAGTAACAAAATGAATTGGTACTTACCTGAAAAAACACAACATAAATAGAAAAAAATAGTCTAAAGCAAAAGTTATTTGCACAATTGCACTTTTTGACACACTAAACCCACCCTAACCTCTGGGGAAAAAATATTGGAGATAGTGGTAGAAACTTGTTGGTTAATTAATGATAAAGTCGCCAAATAGGATGTAAATAGGGTTGAAACCTCTGGTGATTAGTTATAAATTCTAAAATCTTTTAGGTATTGATTGCAATACAACTTGGAAAGATGGTTTATGTAGTTTTCTATAATTTTATACTTCCTCAACGTAAAACCATTATATTATCGACTCCTAAAGTTTAGAAAACTCCCTCTTTCTTGTTGTATTTTCATGCATGAATATATACCCACAGCTATATAAGTTAGTTTTCCTTAGATTTGTTCAAAATTCTAAAAGCCACCCACTAAGGTTGAATTTATAGTCCTATCTCTTGACACCACATGTCTTCACGCGCACTTTCGTAGTCGTGTCTTGAATTTGGACATGATTTTGGTGATGTTTGATAAAATTGAATTTTTTAATTTGTAAATTATTTGTTATCAACTGAAATTTAAGTGTTAAATTTAGTCAAATTATTTGACAAATATAAACAGCTGAAGTTTAAAAATTATTATTATTTTATTTTTGCCTTCTCATTAACCATCTTTCCGCAATTATTTTAATCCTGTCACCACAATCATAATGGTAGTGGTAGTGGTGATGGTGATGATAGTTGTGGTAACGGTAACACAATGGTGGTAATAGCGATAATAGTGATGGTGGAGGTGATATAATGATAGTGGTGTCGATGACAATACAATGAGGTCGACAGTGGTGGTGACAATAGAAGTGGTAGTGATGGTGATGGTGACACAATGATAATAATAATGGCGGTGACACAATGATAGTGGTGGTGACAATAAGGGTTGTGGTGATGGTGGCACAATGGTGGTGGTGGTGGTGATAGTGATAATGACGGTGGTACTATGGTGGTGGTAGACTGGTAGTGGTGATAGTGTTGATAGTGGTGGTGATGACACAATGGTGGTGAGAGTATATTTGTCCATTATGAGAAATTAAAAAAATCTTTAATGACTAACATTTTCAGCATCAAGTAATAAGTAGGTGATTTGCTACTTAAAATTTTAGTCTATTTTTAAAAAAATGCTTAAAATATTAAGTAAAATGAGTTTTAGGTTATCATATTAAAAAATATTTAGTTTTAAACTTTAAGTGGTGTTATCAAACAACCCCCAAGTTACCAAAGAAAAAATTTATGTATTATTCCTTCAACTTTTACTGTTTTAATGAATGTCATTACAATTTTTGATAGCTATTTGACAAAAAAAAATTACAATTTTTGTAGATATTTTTATCACATTTATGATAACTATTTTTATCATTTTTTTTTAGTACAAAAAATTACCACTTTTGTGAGTAATTTATCACATTATGGGTTTTTTTTTATCACATTTATGAATATTTTTATTATTATTATTATTATGATAACTATTTTTATTATTCTTTTGGGTACCACAACAATAATAAAAATATTTACAAATATGATAAAAACAATCACAAATATAATAAAAAGAAATATAATACTGAATTTTAATTTTTTGGTACTCCAAATTTAAATTTGAGTGTCTATAAATGATGAAGAGCCATCCAGTTTTGCATTGTCTGGCAGTAACATTTATTTATCCATACGTGTCCCAACGTTGAAAAATCAAGAAATTAATTAGAAGATAACAACGACAAATATACGATGACTCGAGGCGGGAGCCATGATAAGGCCCAAGGGGGGTCACGATCGATGCCATCAACTTTTGGAAATTATACATTATACTTCTTAAATTATGTTTGTTTTATTATAATCTATATGCCACTCGAATTTTTAAAATTATATTTTAAACCTTCAAGTACAATAATTTTATTTTATACCCTCCACTTTTAATTTAATCATATTGTACCATTAACTATTAAAAATAATGTGACATTTTATACTCTCTCTCTCTCTCTCTCTTTTTACATTTGCCAAAAGTATGATAAAATCAAATTATACTCGAGTGATTATACGATGAAATTAAATTTTACTAATTGATTATTTGAAAATTTAATTTAATTTTTACATTAATTTTTTCACTATTTTTAATTAATTTTATTCGTTTATTTAAAATAATAATTACATTGTATTGTATGAGATTGATTATGATATGTTCTATGGATGTAAAATTTTATGTAACATGAAAACATTTATAAATGGAGAAAATCGCCCATATAACACGCATTCTAAATATAATACAAATTTTTGATTTACTTTATTCATTTAAATTTTAAAATTTATTTATCATATCAACTGTTTCAGAGACAAACTACTTTGTAAAAATTAGTGAATTGCTGCAATTCTTTTTACATTGGATTCTCCTATGGAGGGTCACTTTAAAATTCTTTCCTAAACTCTTCTGACCGAATATGATAAAATCTATAAAATTAGCAAGCTACTATCATTTTTTTCATTATAGATTGATATTTTTTCGAACTTAAGCTCATTTAATCCCTATTTTTTTATCTTTTTTTTTTTAATTATTCTCGTATTATCCATATTTTTCCGATGAAACACACAAAGTGGTGAAAATTTGAGCCAAGTTGGTTTACTCTTAAGATTATGNTATGATAAAATCTATAAAATTAGCAAGCTACTATCATTTTTTTCATTATAGATTGAGATTTTTTCGAACTTAAGCTCATTTAATCCCTACTTTTTTATCTTTTTTTTTTAATTATTCTCGTATTATCCATATTTTTCCGATGAAACACACGAAGTGGTGAAAATTTGAGCCAAGTTGGTTTACTCTTAAGATTATGATATTTGCATACAGGGGTGACAATCATATCGTGTCATTATAGGTAAGTCTAAGATTCTATTATCATTTAATTGAATTCATACTTATACTTTTTTTATAAACTAAAAATTAATTTCATAAACATAACAATAAAAATGACTAAAATATTTTTTTTGTACAATAATTATGTCAATATTTGATAAAAAATAACAAATAATTGACATTTTATTCCTATAATACTACTTAAATATGTTAATCGAGTCAATTTCGTATTGTTCGTGTTTGACATTAACTCGATCTATTTATTATTCGTATTAATAGGTCGCATTATTTATAAATTCGTGTTGAGAAATAATCAAACTTCTCCCTCTAATTTCATATCCAATTTAAGTTGTGTTATTTCCGAAATTACCCTAATTGCATATATGTTTTGGGCCCACAAGCAGATTGTCCGAATATATGCCCATGCACTTGCAATGGAAACAAGAGGGACCAGCTTGGCATTTCCTGCTTTAGGTTCATCCCCCCATCTAAAGTTCTAGACGGCTCGATCTCGATTCATTTAAATAATTTATATTTGATGAAATTATTTATTTTGTAAATAATGAAAATTTAAAAGGCAAACTTCATTTTACCCCCTTTAGTATATCTTAAATTTACTTTACCTCCTTACGTTTTAAAAATTTTCATATAACCCTCACATGTTTTCTAATTTAAAGGGAAACGTTTACATCCACCGTCAACTTGGACATAATCATTAACATTGTAGTTTAGTTCACTAAACATGCTAGGGTTATGTGAAAAGTTTGAAACCGCGAGGAGGTAAAATACATTTGAGGTATATCATATGGGGTAAAATGAAGTTTGGTTTGATTTTCAGTAGTCACGTTTCAACGCGAAGAGTTTTTTGTTAATATTTATAGTTTTATTAATGAGTAATCTTATTTGAATTTAAAATTTTGACATAATTTGTTGACATAATGACTAAGTTTTAATGTTTGATGGAGTCCACCGTCAATCCAAAGATTATAGTGAATTAGGTTATAATAATATTACTCTTTATTAATTTCCTAGTAAGACACTGTACTAAAAATCAAACATTATGGTACAATATTTAAATTTTATTTTTTATTCTTTTTAATCACGTAATTTAAAATTAAATAAATAAAAATAAAAGTAAAAAAGGCATAGGAGACAAAGAAGGGAAGTATATGTATGAATTGGCAGAATTACTTGACATTCGTGTGGTCGGGTAAAGAATATGATGTTTTTGAAAGAAAAAATTTTATACTATTAAATCAAAGTAAATGAAAATTGAATTAGTATTTACTGTTAATTTTTTTTATAAATTGGGAATTCAACGTCTTAACTGTAATAAATAAAATAAATTTTGTAACATTAAATAAAAGTAAATGAAGATTAACTCAATCTTGATCGTTATTTTTCTATAAGTTGAGAATTCAATTTTTTAACTGTAATAAATGAATCATTTTTAAATTATTCTTAAATAATTTTAGATCACATAAACTTCTCTGTCTCTGGCTCTCTTGTTCAATGCATGCTTTTAAATAATTTAAGAGTTCAGAGTTTGAATTTTTTGTAAAGTGCCCTCTTTTATTTTTTAGTATTTTATTATTGTTTATGAAGTTTCATTTAAAGGGTATTTTTTTAATAATTTTTATTAAGAAATCAAAATTGTAAACTTCTACCCAATATAAATTGAATAAATAAAAATTTTGACAATGAAACTTGAATTCGACTATGTCACAATCAAACACATGCTTAAATTTAATAATTTAAATTTTAAAGTTTGGTGTTAATTTCGTAATTATAATAATATTATATCATTAAATTAATAAATTAGATTAAATTTTTATATTTTAATAGCATCACCCTTTGGTGTATACCCCCAAAATGCAGAAGTAACAGAGTTGACTTGCGCCCTGAATTTTTTTATTTTTTTGGGGATACCGTGCCTTCATATTCTTCTTTTGTGATTATTTTTATTATATTTATGAGTATTTTTATTATAATTGTGATATCAAAAAAATTATAAAAATAATTACTACAAATGTAATTAAAACAATTACAAATATGAGTGTTAATCGAGACGAATTACTTGAACTCGATTTAAAAAAAACTCAGTTTAAGCTCGTGTTCTAAACGAGCTAAATTTGAATAATTTTTTAACTTCATTTAAAAAAACGAGCCTCAAATGATCTATTTGGCTCGTTTATATGTAAATTAGTCGAATTACTCAGGTTTGGCTCGGGTTCGACTTGAGTTCTAAACGAACTAAGTTTGAATAATTTTTTGAGCTCGTTTAAAAAAACAAGTTCGCAAAATTCAGCTCGATTAACACCTTTACTCATAAATATAATAAAAACATCCACAAATAGGGGTGTTAATCGATATAAGTTATTCGAGCTTGACTCAGATAAAACTTATCTCGAGTTCAACTCGTGTATTAAACGAACTAAGTTTGAATAATTTTTTAAATTCGTTTAAAAAAAACGAGCCTAAAAGGCTCGATTCAAACTTGCAAAGTTCAGCTTGTTTATATATAAATTAGTTGAATTACTCGGGCTCGGCTGGAGTTCGACTTGAATTATAAACGAGCTAAATTTGTATAAATTTTTAGACTCTTTAGAAAAACAAGCTCGTTAGTTTAGGCTCAGGCTCAGGCTCAGGCTCAGACTCAGACTCTCAGGATTAAGCTCAAGTTCAAACTCATAAAATTTAATTCGATTAACATCCTTACTTACGAATGTACTAAATCATTCATAAAAATAATAAATTATTTTATTGTAAAATGATTCGTAAAAATTATAAAAAATATATATTTAATAATAAAAATTAAAAATACGATAAAAAAAAGAATTTGGTACTGTCATTAAGTCCTGAAGTGACAAGCAAGTTTAATTATTTGTAGCTTGAAACTCTTTTGAATTTTGATCATAAGTCAAATTTGAAAAAGGGCAAAAAAAAAAAAAAAAAATTTGAAGATTCAACCTTCTCGTCAAGAAAAGTGAGCTGAGACTTAGAATTTTTTAGAGTCATGACAAGATGATATACATACATGATGGTGCAAGCAGAGAGAGAGAAAGTAGAGAGAGATGATCCACATCCCCCATCAACCATAAAGAAGAACATCAAGCTGTCTCTGTCAATCCACTCGGTCGGAGAGTTGCTATAAAATGACTCTCTCTCTCTTATTATCTTTGAAACTTGAAGAAAAGAATAGCGGTAAAAGGTTCAGCTTGCCAAATGTAATGTTCACATATATATCTCTGTCTTAAAAGTGGAGCCTCCTTTACCTCCGGCGATTGTAAGTATATTATAGGTTCACCCAACTCTCATCTGTCTCTCTTCTCTCCGTCCCTCTATCATCTGTCTCTTTCCTTATCCCTCTCATCCTTCTCTGTTCAAACAGGGTTTATTATCAACGTATTATAAACATACAACCAATCGCACATATAGATAGAGAGAGAAACAGATAAAGATGAAAGGAGAATATGTAGAAGACAAAGATCGCCCAAACAACATGTTTGCGAAGCTCCATCAAACCCAAAAATATCCACAACACCACCAACTAACTCTCCACCACCACCAAACTCACCACTTCCAAGTCACCCGTGAAAGCCAAACCTCCGAAGAAGCCAACAGCCGCAGCCGCAGCCCCTCCGCCACCACTGCCAACAAAGGAGCAATCATACCCATAACCACCACCAGTGACGGAGCCAGCATCGAGGTGGTTCGCCGCCCCCGAGGTCGCCCACCTGGTTCCAGAAACAAACCAAAGCCACCCCAAATCATCACTCGCGACTCAGAGCCCTCCATGAACCCATATGTCCTCGAACTGCCGGGTGGAGTTGACATTGTCCATTCAATTAACCTCTATTGTAGAAAACGCAACATGGGTCTGTGCATTCTCACTGCCTCCGGCACCGTCGCAAATGTTTCGTTGCGTCAACCGTCGGCGACCCCAGGATCCACCGTTACATTTCATGGCCGATTCGATATACTCTCGTTATCGGCGACTGTATTATCAACACCGACAACATCCGTGATTCCGGCGGCTATATCCAATGGATTTACTATATCTCTGTCTGGTCCGCAGGGTCAGGTGGTCGGAGGGACCGTTGTGGGATCACTTTTGACGGCCGGAACTGTGCATGTAATTGCGACCTCGTTTAATAATCCATCTTATCATAGGTTGTCGGTGGAGGAGGATGTAACGAATACTGGGTCTGCTGGGAATGAGGGACACCACTCGCCGCCGGCTATTTCAGGCGGTGGAGATGTTAGGCATCAGCCGGAGTCTTGTGGGATGGCTATTTATAGCAGCCACTTGCCTTCTGATGTGATTTGGGCACCCACCGCTAGACAACCACCACCTCCACCACCCTATTGATGATGGGCTTGGTTAGTGTTCTGTTTGTACTTCTCTCTCATGGTATTGTGAGTAGTAATTTGCCTGCCTTTGAATTGTTCTTGTGTGATTTTTTTTCATTGTATTTTACTTACTTTTCAGTAGTTAATTTAGTGAGAATGAGAGAGAGAGAGAGCAATCAAGTTTCTTTGGGTGGCAAATTTGCTTAAATTCAATGTGTTTAATGACGATGGTTGACTAATGTCAGATGTAATATTGCAACCCCACCCAAGTAAATTATGTGTATTTGTATCATGTATATAGATGTGTACATGAGTGCGAGTCTTATTTTTTTTGATCAGGAGTGTGAGTCTTGTTGGAACAATGAAAAGATTTAGTATTAGAATCACAAAAATAATCTTGCCCCCAAAATTAAGTCGATTACATTTGAATCTCATAAAAATTTATTGTAAATGTGTACATGTTGTTTTTTTGGAGGGGGGGGGTCGTTAGTCGTGAATCTAATCTTATATATGCCAGGTCATTTTCTTTCCATGATCCTACTACTTTGTGGGATAAATATTTCCATGATCACTTTGAGACATTTTTGTGACTGGGTAATGTTACGTGAATAATGGTGGCTAAGGGTTTTTTTTTTGTTTAGTTGGGGTTGGGTTTGGGGTTTGCTTACTTTGAAGTTGGAAAATGAGCGCATCTTTTATCTCTCTCGGCCAACTGATTGCTGAGTTTTCTGGCTCTGCTTTACTGCAACAACTGGCAGAAGAAAATGCCTGATGGTTCGTTCTAATTACCCATCCTATCCTACCTCAGCTTCTTGGTTTGAATATAGTGTCATGTTGTAATAGGGAACCTGGTTAGGGTTGTGCCTTAGCCAAGTTACAAGTTCATTTCACTATCCGAAAAAAAGTTACAAGTTCTTTTCAGACTTTGAGAGAGAGAGAGAGAGAGAGAGAGAGAGAGAGAGAGAGAGAGAGAGAGATGGGTGGGTTGTGTTGCTCTGCATACGATATGATGGATGAAAGCTTTCGAAGCCCAGCTTTATTTTCTCTATCTCTCTAATCTAAACTGTACTTAGTTTTGTCTCTTTGTTGATCCAATCAACTCTTTTAACGTGGAAAAAAAAAAGGAATTAGAAAGAAGGAAAAGGTTGAGCGTTTCTCTCAAGTTATTTGTCAGCACTTTTGATGCTCTTGTTTTATTAATTCTTTGGCAGTTGTTTACCGAAGTAATAGTATTTTCATCTTGATCCACAGACTTAGGAGGATGGAGAGTAAAGCTTAGACATTATAAAGAGACAATAAAGAACCATTCAAATGCTTAGTTTGTACAAAGAAGACTAGGGTGGTCGAGAAGGGTAATGCTATATAATAATAGACATGTTTAATTTGAGTTTTTCTCATTAATTTATGTTAACATGTTTGTCAATTTATTTAATGTACACTGATAGATGTAGCCTAAAATCGTTATGGTATTGTACTCGCAAAATGTTATAGTTCCCATAATTCGGTCTAAGAATTTCTTATAACATCTGTCTTATTTACATAAAATTTTAAGCATGTATGTTAGCGTTAGAGCAATTTAACTTCATCGTGTTATCCAACATTAATCTAATCTAAAGCATTTTAGAGATTTAATATTTAAAAATTAGTATACATTTTGGGATTAAATTCTTTACGGGTAATCACAATTGAGGAATTACACAAAAACATAAATCAATTGCAAGGGTTGTGGTATTGCGGGAGGTGCTCAATACCGCGGAAGGACGAGGTTGCAGCAAAAGAACTTGGGCAACCTTAGTGTGATCTACCTAATCCACCTCTCTACTGCCAAAGTAAAGACACATAGCTGAGACACTGCAAATGATAAAGAATGACATCCATAGCAAAGCGTCAAGGGGTACTCCCGGAGTAAGACTGCTTGAGAAAAGCTGCATAACCCATTGGATGCCCACAATGATAAAGTTAATTAATACTGTTTCTCGACTGATCCAAGAGATTAAGAGGAGGGAAACCAACTTGGGGAGAGGGAAGAGGATAATTAGATGATGAGATGTGTGGATTGGTGGTCGGTCAAACATTTACTTTGCACAAATTGTCATAAACTATTGGTAGCTGTTGGGGGCCATTTAGTTCAATTTAGCATTGCCCATCAGGAAATAATTGATTGAAACATGACAAGGGTTGAAGGATAGAATGAAGAGAATTAGTGTTTATGTCAATTTGATTAAGAAAATGGGAAAAGGATAATCCTATTTGCCCAAGAGAAAGAAGAACACAAATAGATATAGGGGGAGTGTAAATTCATCTTATCCCTGCCATTCTCGGATTTAGTGGTGTATTTGATTGGATATCACTTGAAATGTATGGCTATTTTTAAAAGTGATGGGGTTGATGTAAATCAAAACTTAAATATAAGGGTTAATGCGAAATCTATCCATTTTGATTAGATAAAAAGCATGGCAAGGGTAAATTCATCCACAAGGCTGGCAAATTAAAATAAAAAAAAATTCATTTGATTCTATTATTTTAATTGTGAGTATTAATTGAGTTGAGCTTATCGATTTTGATTATGCTAAGTTTAGTTCAGTGGGATTGGTTGAGTTAAATTTTTATTTACATTTATCTTCATAAAAAAATATGAATATTTGAGTCAAATTTGAGTTCAATGTTGCATTTCAATTGAATCCTAAATGAAATAATCAATTCTTTAACATAAATTCCTCAAAGTCTGTATAATCAACAATAAGATCTTATCCTAAAATTCAGATTTTGAGAAATCTACTATATTAGAGAAGAGACTGATGGAGAGGTGATTCATCACCAATTCAATCATTGTCCACACTTACCATTTATGGAAGTGAGGATTAGGCACATGTGTCAGCAATCAACCATACTCTGTATATATAAATTAATTGTCTTTCGGGACAAGATTCTTTTTGTCCGGGGTTGTATGGTTGCTAAGTGCTAACCCCACCACCAACCACCAAGCGGAGTAAATACAGAATGCACCGGTTATACTCTATCACTGTTGATTAGGGGTGTTAATCGAGCATAATAGTTCAACTATTTACGCATAAACGAGCATATTTGTTTAATTATTTACACATTAACGAGTTTAAATAAATATTTAACCTTGACTTGATTAACAGTCCTATTATTGATGATATGAAATTATCAATTAATAATAAAATTTTAAATAGAAAAGATGAACCTCACTTGAATTTACACGACAGAATGGTGAAAAATTATTTATTTACATGATAGATTAATTATTAATTTTTAAAGGATTCATCTATTTATTTATTTTGATATTATTAATTAATAATATTATATTAGTTTGACACGTGATATCAATGTTGTAATAAATATTTTCTCCACCAAGTGGCTGCTTGAAGACCGACGTCGGCATGGCGGCGGGTTTTGTTATACCCTTTGTTGTCTCATGGTATATTAATATGATCCAAGTAATTAGTTTATTGGACTACAGGTAGTGCTATTTAACTATATCATTTTTTTTTTCCAATTCTCTAGTGAGGCGTTGAAAAACGATGAAAATCTATTTATTACTCACAAATGTCGAGAGTCAGAGGGTAATACCACAGTAAGACACTCTAAGTACGCGAACATTCATTACATTCATGTTTATTGTTTAGTTTGATAAATTTTATGCTGATTTTTAGCTACTTATCGTAGCACTTCTCTTTTATTTGGCTTCAAAATTAGCTGTGCACTTGTAGTTAACACGCTTATATTTTTTTTTTTAAAACATGGTTTATGATGGGACTTTTTCAAAACGTAACAAATGATGACACGTGTCTTTGGCACCGATAAAACATCTATGCTATGGTCTTGACACGTGTCATCGGCATCCTTAGCCCCCTTCCGTTGAGGGAATAATTCTCGGGGCCGAGGGAGTCCGAGACGGCATGGATGACACATATCCCTTGACTCAGATTGATGATATCGGTCCCGATGTGTATGCTTCTTCGGTGTCGAGATATATCTACTAGAAGGACTGAACACGTGACATGCGGTGTTAGATCAAAGACAAAATGATCAGAATGACCTTACTGACACATGAGTTAAGCAAACAGACATTTAATGTATCCCTTTCCTGATGAGACAGCATTTAAGGCATGAGAGCCGAGAAGTGAAAGTCATTAAATACTCTCATGCCTGGGCATTTAATACTCCCTCGCCGAGGNTGATATTTGCATACAGGGGTGACAATCATATCGTGTCATTATAGGTAAGTCTAAGATTCTATTATCATTTAATTGAATTCATACTTATACTTTTTTTATAAACTAAAAATTAATTTCATAAACATAACAATAAAAATGACTAAAATATTTTTTTTGTACAATAATTATGTCAATATTTGATAAAAAATAACAAATAATTGACATTTTATTCCTATAATACTACTTAAATATGTTAATCGAGTCAATTTCGTATTGTTCGTGTTTGACATTAACTCGATCTATTTATTATTCGTATTAATAGGTCGCATTATTTATAAATTCGTGTTGAGAAATAATCAAACTTCTCCCTCTAATTTCATATCCAATTTAAGTTGTGTTATTTCCGAAATTACCCTAATTGCATATATGTTTTGGGCCCACAAGCAGATTGTCCGAATATATGCCCATGCACTTGCAATGGAAACAAGAGGGACCAGCTTGGCATTTCCTGCTTTAGGTTCATCCCCCCATCTAAAGTTCTAGACGGCTCGATCTCGATTCATTTAAATAATTTATATTTGATGAAATTATTTATTTTGTAAATAATGAAAATTTAAAAGGCAAACTTCATTTTACCCCCTTTAGTATATCTTAAATTTACTTTACCTCCTTACGTTTTAAAAATTTTCATATAACCCTCACATGTTTTCTAATTTAAAGGGAAACGTTTACATCCACCGTCAACTTGGACATAATCATTAACATTGTAGTTTAGTTCACTAAACATGCTAGGGTTATGTGAAAAGTTTGAAACCGCGAGGAGGTAAAATACATTTGA